TTAGTCTTTTTTATTTCATTACATTTTTTTCCTAATTTGTGTCTTGTTCATTTTTAAAATTTCAAGTAAATTGACCAAGCATTGACCGCGGCATGCATGTCTGAATTAAACAATATTTTTAGGAAAAAAATATATGTATAAATAGTTATATTTATATTATTGGGATTTGCATGGCAATTATGTTAAACCTTCATTTATTTATTTAGAACATTGACAAACTTTCCTTTATGTACATTTTCTTTGTTTCTTTCTTGCTTTCTATTTTGTTTCGTTTATTATAGCTTCGGCAACACACATTATGAATTATTATGAATTCATTAAAAAATTCTAAATTTTGTATAAATTGATTTGCAGTTACGATCACTAGTGTCGGATGTTGAATGACTGTCTCACCTAAAAACTCGAACTGTTAGAGAAACACAGCCATTAATCATGTATCCACAAACGGGAGTCCCCACCATGCCCTCTCAGGTGCAAGTGGGGTCTGAGAAACTTGCACATGCATATGCCGCAAATGAGGATGGGTGGGACTCGAACTCGAGACCTTGCTTAGGCTCTGATACCATGTCGGATGTTGAATGACTGTCTCACCTAAAAGCTCGAACTGTTAGGGAAACACAATCATTAATCAAGTTTGCTGAACAATGTGGAGAACTGGCCAGGGAAGTGAGACTTGGTGAAGATATCTGCAGTCTGATCCTCGGAAGAGACAGAAGATAGATGAACAGTGCCTGCACGAACATGCTGACGAACAAAGTGACAATCAATCTCAATATGCTTGGTGCGCTCGTGAAAGACATCATTATGGGAGATTTGAATTGTGCGCTCGTGCTATCACAATGGAGGGAAGTGGAAGAAGGCTGAGGAACCTCGAGATCAGATAGAAGCCAACGAAGCCAAATGAGCTCTGAAGTCGAATCCGCAAGAACACGATACTCAGACTCTGCACTGGAGCGAGAAACGAGAGTTTGTTTCTTGCTGCACCAAGAAACAAGGGAACTCCCAAGAAAAAACAATAACCTGTGATTGAGTGACGATTAGTTGAATCACCTGCCCAATCAGCATTAGAGAAACCTACAAGAACTAATGGAGAGTCAATAGAAAAATAAAGACCGTGTAGGAGTGTTCCCTTGACATAACGAAGGATGCGCAATACAGCCACATAGTGAACTGTCTGGGGATTAGTCATTAACTGAGCAACAACATGAACCGCATGAGTTATGTCAAGACGAGTGACCGTCAAGTATATCAGAGATCCCGCTAACTGCCGATAGCGGGAGGGATCCTTTATTGGAGTGCCGTCAAAAGGAGCAAGTCGGAAGTTCCCCTCGAGAGGGGTGGATGCAATCTGGCTATCAGTCATACATGAACAAGATATGAGATCAGATGCATGTTTTGCCTGAGACAGATATATGCCATCTGGAGTGTAAAAAATCTCAAGTCCGAGAAAATAGTGGAGCTGACCAAGACTCTTCATGTCAAAGTGTCGATGAAGGTAGGTCTGTAGATCGGATATACCAGGAATATCGTCACCTTAATAACCATGTCATCCACATACAACAAGAGAATGATGATCCCAGCAGGAGAATGAGGAATAAAGAGAGCAGAGTCAAAAGGAGATGCAAAAAAGCCATACTAAAGGAGCATAGCACTAAACTTGGCGAATCAAGCTCGGGGTGCCTACTTCAGTCCATAAAGGGCACGGCGCAGTTGACATACCTTCCCTGAAAAATCTGAGCCAGGTGGAAGGGTCATGTAGACTTCCTCAGACAAGAGATTCTTTATAACCACCTGTAATAATTGCCAACATCGAACAACGGAAACAACAAGGAGACAACGGACATATGTCAAATAAGCAACTGGAGCAAATGTCTCCTCATAATCAATACCATACTCCTGCGAAAAACCCTTGGCTACAAGGCAAGCCTTGTAGCGCTCAACAGAACCATCAAAGTGAGTTTTGATTTTGTACACTCACTTACAGCTAATAGGTTTTTTGCCATGAGGGAGATCGACGATATCCTATGTGCAGATCTTCTCAAGAGCCTGCAATTCCTTAGACATAGCGTCACACCACAAAGGATCACAGTTTGCCTCACGAAAGGTCTTGGGTTCATGGTGAGATAAAATGGCAGAAAAACAATGACAATCAAGTAGATGAGAGGGAAGATGACTTACACGGGTGGGTCGCCGATCAGTGGCGGCATGAACTGAAATTTCCGGAGGGTTGGGCATAGGCTCAGGAGGCGCAGGAGGGTCAACTGGTGGGGAAGGATCAACATCAGACAGACCAGCAAGAACGGATGGGGGTTCGGGACTTGCAGAAGGAGGAGAGGAATCCAGAACAGGAACGGACGGGGGTTCGAGACCTGCAGAAGGAGGAGAGGAATCTTGAGCAGGAACGGACGGGGGTTCGGGACCTGCAGGAGGAGGAGACGAATCCTAAACAGGAACGGATGGGGGTTCGGGACCTGCAGGAGAGGGAAAGGAATCCAGAACAAAGAACGGGGACTTTGACTCAAAGGGAATGGAAAATTTAGACTATGAGGAAAAGAACTTATGCTCCCAAAAAGCAACATCCCGAGAGATACGTAGATGATTTGACACAGAATTCCAATATCGATAACCTTTATATAAAAATGAGGAAGATGAACAAAGCTGACACAACCAAAATGATAAAAATGAGAGTAGTCAGGTAGCTAGCGGAAGAGCCTCTCAAAAGGTGTGGTATTCTGATGGACAGAGAAGGGTAAGCAGTCTGAACTTGCTTCCATTTACTCTCCATTCGCTAAAATGGTGCAAACTCAGTTCTCGTGTCCTATTAAGACTCTTCGCACTGACAATGCCCTTGAATATAATTATTTTTTCTTTCTTAGTTTTCTGTCCACCCAAGGTACTCTTTTCCAGCGTTCTTGTCCCTACACATCTCAACAAAACGGTAGGCCAGAGCGCAAGCATCGTCATATTTTAGACACAGTTCGAGCTTTTAGGTGAAACAGTCATTTAGCATCCGACAACTAGATTGTTCTAAAGTATGCTTAAATCTATTTTTAAGAATTTCGTAACATTTATTTCTACTCGTTAGAATTGAGGACACATGTTACAATCATTTATTATTTTTATTTGTAATGTCTTTTAAGAGGCAAAATTGTTCGCTATTACTATATAATAAATATAAATATATACACACTAGTATAAAAATTCAGAATTGTGTGTTTAGTGGAAAAAAATTACAAAATATATATTGTATACATAATTAATATAATTATTACTCTTATATTTTAATTGTCACTCTAGCAAAATATATGTCTCTTATATTTTAGTTGTCACTCTAGCAAAATATATGAGACACATGTCACAATTTCGCTTTCTAATGCTAGTATTTTGTACTGCTCATAATATCTATTCTAATGCTAGTATTTTGTAAATTTAAGCTTGTGGTTGGATTTGCACATCTAACGAAATAATGAAGCAGTCGTGGATGAAAATTAAAATTTCCTAAGTATATATATTATTACGATATATAGTTTAAGGGTACTGTAAAAGTAGAGAAATTAATACGAGAAAAGTTTCCTCTCCAACTAGTAAGCCCACAACGCGCTCTGCAAGTGACTACAATTAATTTTCCAAAATAGAAAATTAGTTATTATATTAAAAAATAATAACATTCTATACCAAATAACATTGAAATTAGAATAACTATACAACAATCTACTTCAATGAAAAACAATAAACGCCACTAATCACCACCATTACCCACCAATGTTGCCTCCCGTCGACGCAGAGTAGCGGCTGTTTGTGGTTGGACTCACCCATGACGGGTGCCGGCAGGCCCGTCTATAGGACTAGGCCATGAGGGCAACCGCCAGGATCCAATCGGGGGCCCAAAATTTTAGGAATTTTGATATGTATATATATATATTATATACTATATTAAACGAATGTATATATAGAAATAAAAAAATTTAGTGAAATATATATATATATATATGAAAATAAAAATAAAAGTAGAAGTCAATCTGACGAGGGAAAATTTTAAATTAATTACTTTCTAATTATTGTATAGATATGACTATTGCATCCTTAAGTGAAATATTAAAACAATTATATAAATTTAATAGTATTTTTTGTTTTGGTTTAATCTTAAAAAACATAAATCTTTTAAATGATAATGACCCTAGAAAACACTGTATTTTTTTTTCAACTATGTTATCTCATAATAAGTTATGTGATGTTGATTTTTATTACAAAATTAAAAGTTTCACAAGTTAATTCACCATATAACTTAAATTAACCCATTAAAATTTTTGAATATGTTAGAGCAAATTATTGTTATCTAAATATTTCAATTGTTTATCGAATTTTATGAATAATTCTTGTAACTGTAGCATCCGCTAATAGAAGTTTTTCTAAATTGAAATTATTGAAAACTTATTTGAGGTCAATTATGTCTAAAAAAATTGAATAGTTTACCTATTCTATCTATTGAAAAATGAATGTTAGAAACCATTGTAGTTAATAATATTATTAATGATTTTGCATCTAAAAATGCTATGAGGAGTACTATTATATATTTTTACTTATATTATGTAAGCAGAAGTGGAAGTAGCTCTTGTAATGAAGTTTAGTAATAAAAGTGGCGATTAAGCTAAATATGAACGAATGATTGTAGAATATTTCTACAATACGTGTGTAAAACAAATGAAGTTGACGGGATGATCAGTTGATATAAATCTTTTAAAATTGTATTTTTTGTTGTTTAATTTAATTTTTTCCAACTAAGGGTTTGTTTGGTTCACACTCCATTTTAATTTTTGCACTTTTCAATACTGCTTCCGCATAAAATCCCGCCAAGGTCAAATGAGATTTATTGTGCAAACAATCGCCGAGGTCTGCAAACCCTACAGTGCGCTATCTTTTCAGCCGCAGTCTGCACCTTTACAGTATGTTGTAATTTCCTATTTCCCATATCCTATTTCTTATAGATGTCTTTTCTCCTTGGTTACAAAACTCATTGTTTCCCATGGATTCTCCACCAAATAGCGAAGGAAAAGATAGTGAAAGGCGGACCGACGATCTGGAGCCCAGCGCTGCGGGTAAGCCTCTCTTCTTCTTTTTTTGCTTTCCTAAACATCTTCATTTGCTTCCCTCTAGCTTTATACTTCTTCATCATGTTATTCCCCAATTTTCTGGCAGGTAAGAAATTACCCATCAAACTAATCGATTTTTTTTTTTTTTCAAAATTTTTTATTATTGTTGAGAGGGGTAAGCTTTTTTTTTTTCCTCTCCCTAACATCTTCCGTTCCTTCCTATGGTTTTATCCTTTCTACATCATATTCTTTGCCCATTTTTTCAGGCGGATGAGAAATTACCCATCGAAAGCATCATTTTTTTTCATACGACTTCGATTTTACTAAAAAAAAATTGTTCCAATTTTTTCAACATTGTTGTCCCTTACGGTAGACTTTTTGGTGTGTAGATGTGTAAATTTTGTTACTACTAGTGATTTCAAATAAAATTCTCCTGGATATTTTTATATTGTGCTTTTTTGTTATTATTTTTCATATAACATGTTTGAAGATGTATGATAGCAGTGATGTATTTTTCCAATTGTTACTGAAGAATCATTGAAAATCTTGATAGAGTTTAATAACATTGTAATATTTTTTTCAAAACTCACTCTAAATCATTGCTTACCACTTAAATTGTATTTATTTTTATTAATTTGGCGATGCTTTATTTTCAAACTGTGTATCCTTTTTTTTTTCCCTTACTAAGCATGTTTTAGAAAAGTTCACAATAACTATTTCACGCACCTGAATTTCATTAAGAATCTTGTATGAATGTAGGTAAATTTCACAATAGCCCTGCTGCTCTAGATATTCGGCACGTAAAGGACGCACAAAGTTCAACAGGTAGTTCCTATCCTAAACCAACCAAGAAGCGCCAACGTAAGGTAATGCCTTCACATGAACACTCTTGACTGATATTGGATACAAACTGCATTGCGATTAGAAATAGTATATTTCCATTAAAGTATAAGGCACTATATTCTCAGTCTGGTTGCATTGCATACCAATCTTGAATGGCAATCTATTGAAATACAATGTTGCTTGCGCATTGAGTTTGTTGGCCCAATGCGAAAAGCACTTTATCGACTCATATCGTACTCATTAGATGTCTCGCCGTGGAGAATCAACCAAGTGTAGGGCCGACAACGCACGATGGACAAAGGAGTTTGAGGTTTTACTAGTGTCGATCTTCTACTCACACTTTCAGGCTGGGCACCTAGTCGGCAAGGATTTCACAAAGGCTACTTGGGGGCAAATCGCCCAGGAGTTTGCCCAGGAAACGCGGAAACCTTATCAACTATATCAGCTGCAGGGTAAGTACGTCTGTCTGCGAGAAGCATACTGCCTCCTAACTGAGCTACGAAACAAGCAAACTAGGTTAGGTTGGGATGCTGAACGGGGGGTTGTTACAGGTGATTTGATGCTTATGGAGGAATGAAAAAGGGTAAGATCTCAACTACATAATAATTTCAATGAGATAATTTACTTTAAGTTGTATTATTATTTTTATTGACTATGTTGTGTTCATCTTCTTTGTAGCAACATCCGAAGCATGCCAATTTGTTAACGCATGGCTTCCCGTTCTACAATCAATATGATGAAATGTGGCGAGGGACATCGCTACTAGGAGCGGTTGTAGCTCATTGGGTGCGTTCGCAAGAAGGCAAGCTCGCCAGACCACATCTGTTCCTATGGCTACAGAAAATTTGGACAACGTATCGGGAGGTAGTGATGAAGAGGGGATGAGTGGTGATGGGGCGACGATTGAACTCTGGTACAAATGGAGAGATGACGTCTATGGTTCGAGAGACTTTGCGGGAGGGTTTTGAGATGTTCTGTAGTGGACGTAGTAAACGTGAGGAAGCTCAGGATGACACTCTGCGCCGCTGCATTTCCATATTGAACTCTATTCCGGGTCTCTTTGTGTGCAACATCTATGTTGCACATAGAAGCATAGTCTTACCCGATATGCGTGAATGCTTCTTGTCCCTTAGTCGTGAGATGCAAGAAGAGTGGGTCCGAAAGCTAGATGTACCGTAGCCTTGGACATATCACGAATGCCCTACCCATTTCCTAGTATTGCTATGACACTAGTTCAATAGTTTATGTTTTTTATTTCTCTCTAGTGTGCGGGTCTGTCGCGAGTTCGTCTATATGGTTGAACTCGTGCTTGCGCCACCACTATTACGTTTTTTCACATATTGTTGTTAAATAAAGACAAATCTCACGTGATTTTGTCTCAGCCATAGCTTTCTTTTACCTATCTTTTGATTGGTTGTATTGATTGGTATGACAGAGATATTATTGTGTTATTGTGATTGAAATAAGATATGATCTTGTCGTATTTAGTATTGTGCTAATGTATCTTTTAATTGTTGTCAAACTAGAATGTCCCACAGTCATGCACGTCTCATGGATTTGCCCATGATTGAGGAGCTTCTTGCGCAACACCAAGAGCAACAGGAGAGGTACGAAGAAGATGTTGCAGCACTTTTTTACAATGGGGGCGACCGCAGCGTTACCTTTAACTTCATTCATAAGACCCATGTCATGCTACAATTCATTGCTATCAGGGCAGGACTTTGTTAACGAGCTGCTCAACGGTCATCCTGTGAGAATAAAAAATCTCCTCCGTGTAAGTAAGTCTACTTTCACCAATCTCACTGAAATGGTAACACCCCATTTGTATTACGAAAGCCCAGATCAACGGCTTACCCCATACGACTCAGTTGCAATATTTTTGTATACGGTTGGCCATTCGACACGGATGCGTGTCACTGCAGCGCACTTTCAACATTCAACAGAAACAGTGTTTTCCCATGCGGATATGGTTGGACGTGCCTTAACCCAGATCAGGGTAGAGTTTATTCGTCCAGGTAATCTCACTCATACGCATCCAAAGATTACATCATCAACAAAATTTTACCCTTACTTCAAGGTTTTTTCTTGCTCCTATATGCTTGTAAGACACTTGTTAATTGTTATGTCCGAAATTACTAGTCGCCCCATAATGCAGGATTGTGTCAGTGCGATCGATGGAACCCTCATTGATGCATGCGTTCCTGCCTCGGACCAACCCCGCTTTCAAGGGCGAAAAGGTGACCCAATGCAAAATTGTATGGCGGTTGTTGACTTTGATCTTCGTTTTGTGTATCTGCTTGCTGGGTTCGAGGGGAGCGCACATAACGCGAGGGTTCTCACCTATGCTATCGATGTGTTACAAGATTTTCCCTTTCCTCTGCCAGGTTGTAGTCATCAGTTTAGGATATGAAATTGTGATCAGTGTACAATTTATTTACTCACATTGCAGTTCTCATCTTTCACGAAAGTACTACCTTGCTGATTCAGGATACCGTAATGCAACTCAATTCCTTACCCCCTACCGACAACATAGGTACCACTTGCAAAGCTACCGGGACGGCAGCAGTAGTGTAACAGGACCTCAAGAACTCTTTAATTATCATCATGCACAGTTAAGGAATGTTGTCGAGCGAGCCTTTGGTTGCCTAAAATGCCAATTTGCAATCTTGCGTGGACCTATGCCTAATTACGATTTTCCGAGGAAATTTCAGCTAGTTTTTTCATGTGCAACCATTCACAATATCATATTGCACAACAATGAAGATATAGATGAGTTTTACGTGCCTGAGGAGGATCTTGTTATGGAAGGTAATTTTGAATCTTCGAATGTTCATAATCTTCCTACTTCATCCGAATGGAGAGGACATTGAAGCTCACTCGGAATTTAGAGATAAGATGGCACACAATATGTGGGAGAGACGTCATGTGAATTGATGTCAGGATGTACCACTACCAAAAAACTGAACTTTTGTAGCAGGTAAACACACTGTGACAATAAATTCGTCACAAAAAGATGTTTTTGTTATGAAATTTGTTGGTTCAAAAAGTTTTAATGTTGGTCAACAATTTTTTTTATTTGTTTCGATTAGTTATCTGTAACAACTACATATGGGACGGAATTTCGTGCTAAATATATTTGTTACGTAATTCAACCCGTAACAAAAAGAGTAATATTATAATTATTAAAAAGAAGAACATTTTATATTAAATTTTTATAAAATTCAAAATATTAAAATTATTTGTTTCGGAAAACTATCCATAATATTTACATATAATACAAAATATGGTTGTATATTTATTTGTTACACAATTCAAGTCATAACAAAAATCAATATTATATTTATAATATTGCAATTAAAAAAAACTATATATATATATATATATTTAAAAAAATTCAAAAATAAAATAAAGTAAAATAAAAATTGAAAAGCGTGTTAACGCTTCTACGATAAATATCCACATACATACAACAAATGAGTTAGACATATTCACATTTCGACCTCATATTATCCCAAATTGATCTCCTATCGCCCCAAATCGATCTCCGATCCATAGAAGGTGCTCTTCGCTTCGAGGTAGGCCAAGAACGACCGTGGGCTACCTTGCCTCGCCGACGCGGTTGGACGGTCATCATTCTTCGAGTGATTGGTGGTGTAAATCTTCCAAGCCGTGACGTTGTGCTCAAAAGATCGACAAGAGATAAAAAAACCTAGGTATTCTATTGTGTACTAAACGTCCACTTTCTTTTCTTTAGTAATTTTAAATATTTAGGAGTGAAAATGTCTAAGAACATTCTGGGCATTGCCTTTGGAGTAGCTCAGGTTGCTTTTTCGGTATTTTCGTGCTTGTGAAATTGAAGGGATTTTCATGGAAGAATGGTGGATCTCTTCTTACCTTATAAGTGCTTAACTTTTATGCCATCTTGTGTCTTTCTTAACTTTTGTTTGCGTTTTGGGAGGATGACTAGTGCCATGGTGGTAGAGTAAATCAAGGGATTGCTATGTTGTGCTATTTTTGTGACATAATCTTGTTGTTTTGATAAGCTATGCTTGCTGATTCCCTCCTGTGTTTTGTCAATTGAGGTTGAGAGAGGGATAAAGAAAATGGAGACAATGATAGCACTCCTTATTTTGAAAGATACGTGAGGGTGTGGAAATGGGATATTTGGTTTGTTACTGTCGTTTAATCAATCTATCGATGAGGTTGTGTCTTGAATATGTGGTTCAGTGCTCTCAATATACTATAGAATATAATACGAATGAAAGGGATATGGATAGAGAATGGGTTTATTTGCAGTGTTTTCAGACTTCATTTAGCACTAAAGTTAAGCATATTACCTGCAATATCAATTTTTATGAGAATCAAGCAATAAAATCTATTTGCTCATTACTCGACTCTGTTATTTCTTCTGTTTGGAAGTAACCATATTAGCAGCAGTATCGAGTTTTGTGCAAAGACTAAGTTTGTTTGATTTGTTTTTTCTATTTCAGGTATTGATGAGGACGTCCAATCTTCAAGCATTCAAATGCCCGTGGGACCCATCACTAGAAGCCGAGCTCGTCAGTTTCAAAAATTCGTCACTAGATTGATCGGACGATTTTTCATGGAGAATCTATTTAAGGATAATGCTTGAAGACCACTTAGCTTTCACCTGACGCTCCTTCAATGGGACCTGCAAGAATCCCAATTGAAAGATCAAGAGAATCACTAATCATGGAAGATTATCAAGGGAATCATCACTTTTGGAGAGAATCGCTAATTATGGAAAATTACCAAGGGAATCATCGCTTATGGAGAAAATCACTAATCATGGAAAATAAACAAGGGAATCATCACTTATGGAGGCTTCTAGAAGTTACCTTAATATATATTTCCTTTTATTATAAGTTTCCATATAGTATAATTCTATATCTAAAACTTTCCTAATTATTTATTTCCTTATAGTTAGACTTACCTTTTGATTTGTTTCCTTTATTATTTGTTGCCTTTTATTTTCCTCAGTGGGATTTAGCCTATTGTTTGTGTTTTACCTAAGGATTGATTTCAGATCCGAGACTTATTCTCGTGGTTGGTTATCATTCATACTAATTCACATTTTCTGCACTATCTTTTCTTCTTTCTTCTCTTTTCTTTTATACATATTCTCAATCCATTTGTTCTATTGAACTTTGTGGGTAAAAAAATTATATTGGTTATATTTATACACGGAAGGCCGTGTCATCTGGTATCAGAGCTTGTTGATACAATCTCTTGATTGATATCACGGTTCTTATTTGAAAAAAAAAAGGCAAAAAAAATTCGAAAAAATAATGAAAAAAAAGGGCAAAAAAAAACAAAAAAAAATTATTATCAAATATTAAGATATTTGTTATTTACTTCTAGTTTTCAAATCATCTTTTCATTTATAAAAAAAAAAAAAAAAACAAAAACTCTATTTAGACTATTTGTCTTCTACTTTTATTCTGAATTTATATTTCTTTTGTTTTCACTACTGTTTTGGATTTTTTGGCTATCGTCTTTGGAAGAATTCCGTCGATTTGATTTGAGTCATTTTTGCGAGACGGAGAGGTACATAAA